GTGCCACTACCGGTTACTCACTGGGGATGAGTGGCACATGGTTTTCCCAAGGCCAATTTGTAAGCGTCCATGATCACTCACTTCTGAGCTCTCAGAGGAACCGGATTTCTGTACGTGGTTTTTAATTTTAATTGTCTTAGTGTGCGTACCTTCTCTGCCTCTTATTGATCTCCGTTGGTGGCTTTCAAGATTGCATCCTTGGTCCTAGCGAAAGCATCTGCCTCAAAGCCACTTGACCTGGTTAAGTCAAGCACTCTGGCGTGCTCTGGGGTGACAGCCGTGTGGAACCTGTGATTGCTGCAGGCTGACTGCCTGCAAATCGGCTTCCGCCCCGATTTAATGTGCACACTCCACAGACCTCTTTCTGTGGCCGTTGCCCTGTGGTTCTTTGGGCTCTTTGCTGTGGTGGCCCCTGGTAGGTTTCAGAGAGGCAGTCTGATGTCGCACACATAGCCCGGACTCATGGGAGGCCATGGAGTGTGGACCAGTCAAAGGCATCCCAGCTCCTGACCTTTGCCATGGCTCCTGACCTTTGCCAGCTTCTGCTGGGTGGGAGTGACTGCTGGGGTTTCTCTGTCCTTGAGTCAAAGGAATGGGTTGGGCTCACCCCATGATGTGCTTGCCACGCACGGCGCCATAGTCACTGTGGACAGATACGGCTGGGCTTGAGTCTTCTCCCTGGACCACATTACATTAGAAACTGGTTATTTCATCTGAGAGGAAGGAGGAAGTAAGTAAGGACTGGGCTGCAGGCTGCCGTGTTCATGGCTGATTAAGCAGCTGGGTCCCATGGAGGGCCTGCTGCTGGGCCAGCTGGGGCCAGCTGCCAGCCCAGTGAGTCCACTTGTGCTGTAGCCGATCTGGAGGCCGGGTGGTCCAGGATGGCGTCCCTCTTGAAGTGGCATTGCGTCTCCGTCCTTGGTGTGCCTCACCCTCAGTGTGGCTGCCCCAAGCATCTTTCTGCATCGTTTTCCAAGGAGACTTGAGAGAGAAAAGCAAAAACTAAAGCTAGATTTTACTTCTAAAGTCTACTGACGTTCCCTCCTTCAAAGCGTTGCCTGCAAGTCAAAACAACATCACTTCTGACGCCCCGTGCCGATGAAAGCAAGATCCGGTCTTGTCTACTGGCAGTTACGGGAAGGGGAAATCGGACTTGACTCCAACAGGAGAAGACGGCCCTTGCATGAGGGATGGGCACATGTGGCAGCTGACTTAGCAGATAGTCCTTGACCAAGAGCAAATGACTGAGTGGCAGGTAGCTCATCCACTCACAGGGATGATATCCTGGTTCAGGAAATGGTCACTGCAGAACCAGGGGTAAGATTCTCTCTCTCTCTCTCTCTCTCTCTCTCTCTCTCTCTCTCTCTCTCTCTCTCTCTCTCT